TACATCATACTCACAATCGGTAATATAACCCTCTGAAACTGGATTAATCAGGTTTGCACAGTTATCGAATGGAGAAGATGACAAAGCTGAACAGTTGGCTATAGCAGTTGCGTTTCTGTCAGAGTGAGTTACACATGGATGTTGTACATCTGTTGCATCATCACAACCAGGATCAGTTTTCCAAGAATTTCCAAAGGTTACAGCATTGTCAACAGTTGTTCCATTTGCTGCTAAGAAATCATCTCCAAGATTTCCATCAAATGTTCCACATAAACCTGATGTTCTGTTCAGATAGCGACCAAGTACTGTCACTCTCACATTACGTACATTATTCCATTCAACTTCTACACCATAATCACTTTCAATCAACGTTACTCTGTTGCTTGGTTCAGTTATTGCCACACCTTTATACAAAAAACATAAAGGATCGAGTTGGAAAATTGCTATTAAATATTACCCATGCACTCTCCGATATATTAGGAAATAATTGTCTGTAATAAGTTACCGATCAAGTATGAGGCAGCAGTTTGCAACAGGGTCTCCACTATTGCTACTCCAATACTAGGGAGAATGATATTGACTCATTATAAAGATAAAAAGGAAATATGACGAACTTCCTTTCTAAAATAAATGTTTTAAGAAATAGAACGATATTCCACTAAATTTGTACTATGCATGCATTTAGTTAGAAATTCTAACTTGACCGTCAAATCCTGAAGCATATACTGCTATCTATAGTATGAAGTTTGAAAGAACTTACCTCCATACGTTGCAGGCAAAACAATTTCTGTGTCATTTACCATTACACTTCCCCGCAGTAGTTGGATAGTTACATTTGGGAAAATCACTGTTAGAGATTTTGTGCAGGAAGGTTCTCCATTTCCACATGGTTCATTCACTTGTCTTACTTCAAATGCGTTATTTAAACTGTCTTTAGCCAGAACGTATTCACATGTACCCATAAAGTCATAACGTGTTCCATCAAATGTCGAGTAGTGTGGATCACCTCTTGCTAGGCATGTCCTTTCAACTGTTAGGTTTTGTAAATAATTAAATTAAACTATGAATGATTAAAAGTTAATATTTTGCCGCTGGATTTTAGAAGCAGAGCACAACTATTTTGCTCGTTTCTTATGAAGTAAAATACATAGAAAAAAGTGTGTTGGCAAAGGGCATAAAAAGGCAAAAACTAGCCTGCGGACAAGCTCACTGAGGGAAAGGTGAGCCTGCACGAAACGATGCGTTTTATTCAATCATTCCCTTTTCGCATCTGCTAAACGCGAACCAATCAGCGTCGACTGCGATAAAATAAACTGTCAACAGTCAAATTGACGCAGGGCGTATCTACAACGAGGAAATGTATATAACAATAATACGAAGCATTATACTGTGATAGGCTAATAGCAATATATTAAATATAGAATTCTCCAGATAATAGATTTGTAATAATACTTTTACTACTTGTGACTAAAAGAACAAAGTACGTTCGGAATATTTGAAGCTATTAAAATACGGTCAGATAGATTGCCAATAACAGCATTGTTCAGGAAGCCTGTGTAATGATTTGAGTCAGCCGTTTGAAAAAGGTTCAAGATAGTCCTTAGGAACGAGACAAGAATTTCCTTGAAAATTCCGCACAGCAATTACTAAAAATGTGCGAGATAATTTAGCCATGCAAAGGAGAAACAACACAATCAGGGACTAAATTGATATTTTTGGCCTCTTTCATGCATGAAAGAGGCCAGAAATTATCACGTATGTTCACAAGATTCAGTCTTGTTATAAACAGCCAAAGCAAAAATAAAAAGCTAATGCTTACAACATTGCGATTTGTACTTTCGAACACCTCCGTAGGGAACGAAATCATCGTACGCTCTGTAATTTCCCTTCGTGCCCGATCCACAGTCATTGTTTGCAAGGGATAAAATTTCACTCGCATCCAGGTGTCTGTCCCACACATTGACGTCAGTAAGGGAACCATGAAATGCGTTTGTTGATTGAAACCCTCCACCAAAGCTGTCTTGGTCCTGCCCAATAATCCATATACCAAATGGCAAAATGGGCCTTCCTTGGATAGACGCAGTCTTGCTCTCTAATAGTACGCCGTTTTTGTAAACTTGCACAGCAGCATCACTACTCTTCCATGTGATGCAGACATGATTCCATTGACCATTGCTTACCAAAATACCCGTTCTATAAAATGCATTAATAAAATGACGTATGGAAAGTGGGATAGAAAAGGAAAATTTCTTTCAAACTCCGCTTTCCTGAGCCGAAACAAAAATGAGTAAAGTAGCTTTATTTCTAGTGAAAGAAGTGCTTTTGGGATCGGAAATTAACAAATAAGCAAATAAATAAACCCATGATCAACAAATGAAAGCAAACATACAAACAAACCAAACAAACATAAAACAAACAAAGCAAAATTTAAGCAAATTAAAACGGAAACAGACAGACAGACAGACAGACAGACAGACAGACAGACAGACAGACAGACAGACAGACAGACAGACAGACAGACAGACAGACAGACAGACAGACAGACAGACAGGCAGACAGACAGACAGACAGACAGACAGACACAGACAGACAGACAGACAGACAGACAGACAGACAGACAGACAGACAGACAGACAGACAGACAGACAGACAGACAGACAGACAGACAGACAGACAGACAGACAGACAGACAGACAGACAGACAGACAGACAGACAGACAGACAGACAGACAGACAGACAGACAGACAGACAGACAGATTTATTTGAATTCGGAATTTTTTCAGTGCATAGCACTGCTTTACAAGAAAGTCGAATATATATACAATTCTAGTTAGAGGCTGATGATGTGATTATATATTGCTCCTTTTTAAACTGGCTCAAGCTGTTGCTGCATTTTATACCTTTAGGTAAATTATTCCACATTTTTTTACTCCAGAAAATGCAAAGCATTTCTTTAAATATTCAGTTTGAGGCTTTTGTAGTACAAGGTATAGTTTTCTATTTCTTAATCAATAAAAATTATCTATGGCAGATGAGGGACCATTCAAAATGGTCCCTCAAATAATTTGGCGCCAAATTATTTAATATCTTATACATCATAGTTAATTTGTGTATGTCTCGCATTTCAGCAAGAGTTTTCCAGTTCAATGTTTTCCTTATTTCATTGGATCTGATATCATAACCTTGGTGAATAATAACTCTAGCGCCACGATTTGTAACTTTTGCAGAATGCCAGCACCAGCAGCAAGAAGGCTGTCCCAAACAACATCGCAATAATCAAATAATGGTTGTATTAATGAGTTATAGGTTGTTAACAATGTCGATAATGGGACAAACTCCTTTTTCCGCCGTTAACCTGTAATTCCACGTGTTCATACCATGTTAGTCTTTCATCAATATGTACCCTAATGACGTGGCTGCTTTGACCCTTTTTATAGCTTTGTTTTCAAGAAATAGTAGTGGCACATCCCTTAACTTGTCAAAATTTTGATCTGAACCAATGAACATGTACCCAGTTTTGGTCACGTTAAGGCTGAGTTTGTTTGCTTTCAGCCAGTCACTTATATTGTTTAAGTCATCATTGGCATGTGTTACTAATTCTCGAAGATATGTTCCTGTCGTCGTTATGTTTGTATCGTCAGCCTACATTCGAGCTGTAGAATGTTTTAAACACTGAGGAAGATCGTTCATATATATGAGAAACAATAATGGTGCAAGAATTGACCCCTGAGGCACACCACAATTAATGCTACGTTCGCCGCATAGAACGTCATTCACATAACATTTTTGTTTGCGATCTTGTAGATAAGATTGGAACCAGGATAAGCTATTTGCTTCAACCCCGTAAATGTGGAGTTTCTCGAGTAATATCTCGTGAGTTATTGTATCAAATGCCTTCGCTAGATCATTATAGATAACCGCAACAAGGGCAGATTTCGTGCTCGACCAATCAGCGCATTTGTTTACATTTTCGCTCTCAGCTAATCATAATGCAGGAAACGAGAAATTTACACCGAGGCGAGCTACAAAATATTGCCGTCTTCTCGGGCTTCCGTGAGATTCAATTTTAACTTTTTTAATTTAAAACAAAAATATTACGATGCATCACATTAAAATCTAAAACTTTGCCGTGGGCATTTTTAAATTTCGACCTAGAATGGAAAATATCCATATTTGAAATTTTTCCATATGTCGCGTATACAAACTTGAGTAATCTAATTTGACTGCAATAAAATTAATAAATTGCTATCTTTTCTTTGCTTTACGTTTTTGTTGAAAAACTCTTTTTTACTCTTGTTGAGAATCATTTTGCTCAATGTATTATTTCATAACCTAGAAGATAACGCGTTTAGAGAGTCTGATTATCTGCAAAATCGAACGCACAATATTTTTGTATTGATTTCCCGTATGATCGCGAGCGTGCGACTATATTTTTTTTAAATCAAGCGCTATAAACGCGTTATTATCTAGGTTTTGATATAAAACATTGACCAAAAGAATTTCCAAAAAGAGTTTTCCCACAAAAACTTAAAAGCAGAGAAAATATAGCATTTTTAGTTTTATTGCAGTCAAATTAGATTACTCAAAATCGTATACGCGACATAGGGAAAAATTTCAAACATGGATATTTTCAGCTCTAGGTCGAAATTTAAAAATTCCCACGGCAAAGTTTTAGATTTTAACGTGCTCCACCCTAATCTTTGGTTTTAAATTAAAAAAGTTAAAATTTAATCTCACGGAAGCCCGCGAAGACGGCAATATATTCTAGTTCGCCTTGCTGTAAATTTCTCGTTTCCTGCATTATGATCAGTCGAGTGGCAAAATGTAAACAGCATCGCTGATTGGTCGAGCACGAAATCTGCCCTTGTTGGCAACCGCATTAAAATTTCCCTGATCCATATTTGCAAGCCATTCAATGTGGCATCTATTAGTGCAGTCATACAGGGGTGTCACTTCATAAAGCCTGATTGACTCTTGTGTAACAGGTTGTTTTCATTGAAATAAGTGTAAAGGTGATCAAAAACAATGGCTCGAAAACCTTAGAAATCACACTTAAAACCGAAATTGGTTTCCAATCCCCTACATTATCTTTTGCGTCAACGTTGTATATAGGGGAGACTTTCGCTCATTTCCAGTCGTCAGAAATATTGCTGTTTGTATAGATAAATTAAAACTATCGCACAATGATTTCGAAACAATACGTGCAGCGAGTTTAAGTATTTTACACGGAATATGGTTTAGACAAGTAGCTTTTTTATCAGATATTGAGGAAATTAATTTAATAACTTCATCCGAAGTGGTTGGGCGTAATATAAACATCGTTTCAGTGGCAGCTGTTTGCACATATTGATGAAAACCTTTCCCATTGCTAAATTGCGTTACGTTGTTTGTTAATTTGCACCTTATTTCAGGAAAATATTTTGTTTTAAACATTCAGCTATTTCAGTGTTGTTTGTGACTACTTTTTTGTTTATTAACAGAGAAGAAATATTTTGAGATTTCGAGCTTCGGGACATTAACTCATTTATTGTATTCCAAAATACAGGCACACACACACACATACATAGACACAAAACACAAACAAACAAACCTACAAACCAAAAACTAACATGCAAACCAACATGCAAACCAGCCAACACAACCAACACAACCAACACAACCAACACAACCAACACAACCAACCCAACCCAACTGTTAACGAACGATATTATTATATGAAGTACTTGTTATCATGACCGCTGAAATAATCGCGTGGGCGACAAAACGTTGTTTGAACGTTCTAGTTTATATTTTTCGACTACAAAAAGTGTGACGATATTTAGGCTATTTTTGTGTTTAAAGACTCGGAATAAAGTGGCGAATTATCTCGTGTAGACATTTTATAGACAGTTCAATTAATCGGGAACAAGTTTGGTCCTTCGAGAGCCGGATTCGTTGACAAATAACGAGAAATTCGCGACTTTTGTTGTGAATGTGCGAACAAATATGGCGCTTAGTACGAGTGGACAACAACAAGACTTGCCGGGAGAAGAGACAGACCAAGGTGTTGAAGCTGTAAACAGTATTCAAAACGTTCATCTCGCCGACCACGAAAGTAAAAAAGAAGAAAATACATTGAATATAGAAAGCAAACAAGTGAGTACCAAGATTCAAACTTTACGAAGTAGTAAGAAATCGGCTAAAACCAGGCTGACAAAAGCTAAGAAACAATTGAACGACCTAATTGAAAAACAACTTCCTGGTGTACCATTGCCGAGTAAAAATGCCATAAGAAGAGCTATTAATAAAGTTAATTCCGAGATCAGTATTATTGAAAAAATTATTTCTGGCTTAAAAGAGATTTATGCTGTGAGTGCTGAAAATGAGGAGACCAACACAGTTATCGAGACTTTAGACAAAGAACTTGAAGACATCGGGTCTTCAGTCGATTCAATAATTGTAATGGCTGAACAACATCTCGAGGAAAGACTTGGCAATGGAGAAACTGACTCAGTGTTAACTTCACTTCGATCACAAGAAACTAGTCCCCAGTCTCCAGTTATGTCGAAAAAATCCTCAAATGTGGAACAGAAACAAAAAGAGGCAAAGGAGGCTAGTGAAAGGCTAATCCAAATGGAAAACGAACAGCGAGTAAAGGAGCTAGAGATCCAAAAGCTGACCGCTGAGCTTCAGCTGACAAAACAGCGAACCGATGATGCAAGGAAAGTTGCTGCTCTCAACAAATCCCGGGCTGAAGAAGCCGAACGAAGATCGCAAGTACCGGATAATGATACAGTACAGAACTTCCTTATTAACCATCACTTAGAAAAACATTCAGAGCTACCCAATGAAAACAAAGAACATAGACAGACATTTTCTCCCATTAGACTTAAAGGAGTGGATCTCCCTATCTTCTCTGGCGAAGAAAAAAGTGACTATGAATCCTGGAAGGCAGCATTCCTGTCTGTTGTCGATCGTTGTGATATTCCTGTCGGAGAAAAAATGCTTAGACTACAAGGCTGTTTGTCGGGTAAAGCTTTAACCATGGTGAAAGATCTCGGGTATTCCCTTAATGCGTATGAAAGAGCGAAGGCTAAATTGGAGAAGAAGTACGGAAGGTAGAGACGTTTACAGATAAAACACCTAACAGCTTTGCGCAATTTCCGGAAAATTCGTCCTCGAAATCTGGAAGATATGGAAGAGTTTCAAGTTCTATTAGAAAGAGTATTGATCGCCACTCAGGACTCAGGACCATTGCATGGACAGAGCTTGAATTTAACAGCTAAAGAGAAACTACCAGAAGAAGACGTGCAAGCTTACAAATATTGGCTGATGGACCACAAGCGTGAAGACAATTTTGAAGCACTTGAAGAATGGGTTGAATTACGAGTGCAAGTTATGGAAGAGGCGAAAGAAGAAACGAATGGCATTGGAAAAAAGACGGACAACCGTGTTGAACAGAAGAAACGCTTTCGAGGCTTCAATACTAGATTCACCACGCGATGTTGTATTGTTCCAAACTGTAAAGAGGATCACCCCCCGTGGGTTTGTAAAGCTTTCAAAGATCTACCCGTCCTAAAGAGAAAAGAATTAATTACTAAGGCTGGACGCTGTTATTGTTGTCTGGCTGCTGGACATCGAAGCAAAGATTGCACCAAAACGAGACAATGTGGTGTTGATGGGTGCCTGAGTAAAGGCCACAGCAGTTACCTTCATGTAAGCCCTCCAAAACGCAAGGACGACGTGGGAGGACACTTACGACATGATGCACCGACATACGTCCCCCCAGGACAATCGAACCAAAATAGAGAGGCTCCTCGTAATGATAAGACACGTGATGACAATCTGCCACCAACCAATTTCCAGCCCCAAGAAAGAACACATAATACAACTAAAGTAGAGAACGTCTCTTTAATGGTAATACCTGCCCTGATTAGTAATGGAAACAGAGAGTTAAAGGTCAATGTAATGCTTGACCCCTGTTCGACCAGTTCCTATGTATCAGAGGAAGCAGCAGAAGAGCTTGAGTTGCATGGACAAAACGTAAACCTTACGATTGCAGGAACAGGGGGCATCGAGATCCAGAAAAGATCCCGCCGAGTGGAACTAAATGTGACTAGTCTAGATAGGTCATTTACGACACCTGTCCAAGCACATGTGTTAGATAACATTGCGAGCGACACACCAGCCATACAGTGGTCAGAACTCAAGGAAAAGTGGCCTCACCTGCAGAAGATCCCTTTCGACAATGTTTCCAGGCGACAGCAGATTGATGTCATGCTTGGCAGCGATAATCCAGTATTCCACTACGTATTAGAAGAGATTCGCGGCAGCCAACCAAGTGATCCCGTAGCACGCCTAACGAACTTGGGCTGGGTTTGTTTCGGGCCAACGTTGGTCAACGAGTTTCGGCGTAACTCTCGTTCCCACTTCACACGCACGTACCGTACCTGCCATGTCGACCAGCAACCACCACCGGACGACATTCTACGCAAGTTCTGGGAGCTTGAGGCACTCGGAATCAAAGAAACGTCTGAGAAACAGGCTATGACAGCCGACGAAAGAGCAGCAACTGCAACTGTAGCTGGATCCCTAAAGTTTGAGAATGGTTTGTACGAGGTAGGAATCCCTTGGAAGGACGGAGAGCCGAAGTTGACTAACAATTACGAAGCGGCGTTATTAAGACTCCAAAGTCAAGAGAAATCCCTCAGAAAGAAAGATCCTAGCATCCTGGAAGCCTACAGTAAAGTATTCAAGGACTATGAGAAAAAAGGCTACATTCAGAAAGTGCCCAAGTCCGAAGTAGAACAGCAGTGGTTCCTCCCACATTTTCCGGTCATTAAGCCAAGCAAAGATACGACTAAAGTTCGTGTTGTCTTCGACGCGGCAATGAAGCATGACGGAAAGAGCTTAAATGACAGCATACGGCCAGGTCCGAAACTACAACGAGAAATAGTAGATGTTCTCACCCGCTTTCGTCGAGCACCAGTTGCTTTGAGCGCAGACATTTCTGAAATGTTCCTGCAAGTTGGTCTACAAGACAAAGATCGTCCCTTTCACAGATTCTTATGGCGAGATTTCGATCCTTCAAGAGAGCCCGACGTATACGAGTTTCGACGCCTGTTGTTTGGTAATACTGCCTCGCCATTCTGCGCACAGTATGTAATACATGCCCATGCTCAAGCACATACAGAGACATTCCCAGTGGCAGCAGAATCGGTCGATAACTCGATGTATGTTGACGATGTCTTAGATTCAAGCGAGACTATAGAGAGTGCCCAGGATCTGCGACGCCAGTTATCTGACCTGTTGGGTCTGGCAGGTTTTCGGCTTCGGAAATGGTCGTCGAACGAGCCATCAGTTGTCGCAAGCATCCCCGAGAGTGACCGGTTATCTGCTGTTGAAATTAACAAAGAAGAGCCGTCTAAAACCAAGACTCTGGGAGTCTTGTGGGATCCTGAAAGAGATGTATTTACCTTCAGAGTGGAACCTCCTGATTCGAATAAAACCCCTACGAAACGTAATGTTCTGAGCGCCATAGCTGCTGTATACGACCCCCTTCAGTTTCTCTCGCCATTCCTTGTTCGGGCTAAAATTCTCATGCAGGAGATTTGGAGAGCAGGGTTGGACTGGGATGACAACCTTCCAAGTGATCTAGCAACTAAGTGGAAGAACTGGGCTACAGAACTTTCGCAATTATCGCAGGTCGCCATACCACGCTGCTTACGCCTCGCAAATCCGAATAAAATGGAACTACACCTGTTCTCGGATGCCTCTAAAGACACCTACGCATCAGTCGCTTATTTGGTGTGCCAATATGAAGACGATAGCCCTACATCACGCCTTGTCGCATCAAAGTGCCGTGTAGCCCCCACCAAAGCGATGACGATTCCCAGACTGGAGCTTATGGGTGCCATTCTCTCAAGCCGTTTAGCTCAAAGTCTTCTGAAAGTCCTGACTGTCGATCGAGTGATCTTTTGGACTGACTCCGAGAATGTGTGGTATTGGGTACGAAACCACAGCCGGCAGTTTAAACCCTTCGTAGCCAACCGTATCGCAGAAATTCAACGGACGACGAGTCTCGAGCAATGGAGGCATGTACCTGGGATACAGAATCCAGCAGATCTAGCGACCCGAGGTCAATCTGCTATGGAACTAGCCAAAAGCACATTTTGGTTGGAAGGACCATCGTTCTTGAAAGATGTCGAGATCTCGGGGCCATCAGCGCCTTCCGTTAGAGAGGAGACGAAGGTTGAAGATATTGAAAAGACAGTGGCACAGACGTAAATGGTCCAGGCGCGCGTTAACCTGGGTGTTGATCCAAACCATTTTTCTACCTTCCGTCGCCTTTGTCGTGTGACTGGATGGGTTCAACGATTCGTTACAAACTGCAGACTTCCAAGGGAATTACGATCAAAGGCCTTCGAGGCCGACTCACGGATGAGATCAAATTAATTAAAGGGGGATATGATTTACAGCAGTTTTTTACAAATGGGAACCGTGCAAGGGCAAGGACATTATTTGGTAAAACACGACATAATATAAAATCTTCCCGAAGATCTTACAGGTTTAAACAGTTTAATTTTAACGACATCCTCGATTTTAACAATAAGGGACCGGTCATTAATTATGGAAGGGGGGAGGGGAGGAAAAAAATAAGGGGGGGCATATGTAGAAATGACTAGAAGGGGGGCTATTAAATTTTTTCAATAAAATGACAGGGGGTGTTGCAATTAAACTTGAAGGAATTTGCTTAATAACCTGGTATCCATTTGGTTGTAAATGTTGCAACTAAATCATGGTCACTGATGTGAAATGGTCTGGATTCATCTTGTCTTGTGTGTGCTGTATGCAAATCAGTCTTTACGGATTGCAGACTAGTTAAATTGACAATGTATTATTACATCAGCTCTTGATGTCGTTAAATACATTTAAATTTAGCAAGGTTAACGGCGTTTGTATTATGCAGGCCACATCCGCTGCGGGGAATCTGTGACGTCATATCGATCAAAGGGGGTTGTTTCATGCCTTGTGATCAGTGCTTCGGTCTGGGTATTCATTCTACCATTGTATGCTTTGCCTAGCTGCAGCAAGTTTTGCGCTTCAATACCTTTTCCCGACCCACCCACCCATGTTCATTCTAAAAGATTTTATCTGGTAGCTAGTATATGTCATTTTTATATAATTTTTAATCTCACATAAAATAGGATGTATACTGTAGACCACTATACACTGTCGCAGGTATGCCTTGGCAGAATTGTCATTGCTATCTCCTTTTGCTGCTAATTTTACTGATTGTTGCTCTCATTGTTGCCGCGCAGCTGCTATGGCAATACTTCGTACCATCAAGTCTAGTTGCAGCCTTAAACATGGTTACGATCACCCAGACCAAATGGAAACCTGATTTTAGTGTTATATATAAAAATACTCCTCTTTTAATTACAATTTTCTGTTAATAAATATATATTTTTGGTCGACGTTAATATCTTGCCAGTTCCATATTCTTATTTAATAATTAATACTATAACGCCTGGGTATCCCCATTTGACGAGTAAAAATGAAAATGGGGGGGGGTCAAAGAAAAATATTCTAATATGCAGGGGGGGCCATCATTAAATTTCTGCCATTTAGGGGGGGGGCTTTCAATTTTAAAAATTTAGAAAAGAAAAAATTCCCCTCCCCCTTCCATAAATAATGACCGGTCCCTAACCAATATCAACAGTCTTGAAAAAACAATCTGAATAGATTATTATAAAACTACACACTATCAAAGCAAATCTATATAAAAGTACAATAACCGTAGCTGTCAGGTGTGTATAGTGTTCAACAGAATAACTATAAGTATAAAGCTGTACCTAATACAGTCAGTATCAGTACATCCAATGACCGTGGCTTTCCGATATGTACAGTGTTAAACAGACTGACAATTTAAACATGATAACTATAATAAGTATAAAGCTGTCCCCAATGTAATATATCAAATGACCGTAGCTGTCCGATCTAGAGTGTTGAACAGGACAATTTAAACATGATAGCTATAAGTATAAAGCTGTAACCAATACAGTACATGCTGCATCAATGACCGTAGCTGTACGATGTACAGTGTTGAACAGAAAAATTTAAACAGAACAACTATAAAACAGCACCCTTATTGATACAACGGTACAGGTAGCTGTCCAATGGCAGTACAGTGTAAGTAAATCCAGGTGGTAATGCTGCCTCAGTGTCCAATGTTCTTTTTCTTTTTAGACCATTTATAATTGTTACCAAACTGTGAATAAACATAAATATCTACATTGAAAAGGGAATGGCTGCAAAAATTTCAATATCAGTCCCCCACACACCACTGTTCCTCATGTTGCTTGTGGCTAAATAATGATCTACTGAACTATTCATATATGGTCTAAGGACATGTTCTATACTGTTCATGTGATCCACTATTTTTTGTCTTAAAATCATGTGGTATGTTTGTCTACCGGTTAAAATATATGACAGTGCTCTAAATAAACAATTGCCATCCCCTGTAATCCGACAGAGTTTCGTTGGATTAACTAGTGGTTTTGATGTTGTTTCATTGCGTCTAAATATAAGTGGGACATTCATCAAAGAGCATAAGGACAGCTGAAATTCTCCTGATAGAGGATAAAAATGAAGCGATCTATCGATACACTGCTGAGACTCGTCCGTGCCAGCTGATACTAGGCTACAGTGCCAGCGCAGTCATGTGAAATATACAACGGCAAGTCGGCAACGTGACTTTAATACAAAGATTTTGTGTCGTGTTGCTTCGAATAAGACAAATATGTCCTTTGTATTCCGTGACAGCTAAAACATGAATTATTTAATTTAAATAACATGATTAAATTTGGTAAACAAAAAACTCTTTCAATCGACAGAAACTATGGAAACAGTGTTGAAACGGTGTTGAAACACAGCTGACAGAGGCGCTCGAAAGGCACCAGAAAATGTGAACACTTGTATATATATTGAACAAAATAGTGTTAATATTTCAGCTAAAAGGTAGATCAGTGTGTTAACAGCAGATCTGTTGGGTGAAGTAGAAAAACAGATAACAATTAAGACATTAAGTCAACTAACACTCACCTTTTAATTTAGTACACGCTTGTCAAAAAGTCAAAAGTTGAAAAGAACGTGAAGCGTGCTCCAGCCCAATTTCCGGTTCCAAAAGACCCGTTCGCAGGCAAACACTGCGCGCAAAGCAGGCTGGTCATTTCCCATTGTTTAACTGCCCCACTCAAGTAAACCACAAAGACTCACAGATGTTGCTTCGCAACATCCGTGAGTCAAACATGACCAAACGTTCCATCTGTATCTGATAATGCAAGGAGAACCGAAAGCGGGGCACAGTAAATCAAACACAGATTGGATATGATTCTATTGCTTAAAATACAAAGTATATGCCTCTAAGTGATCACGTTTACCAACTATTTCGGCGATGTGATTCCGTTTTGGCGATAAAAGCGAGCTGGCCTCATGAATTTTGTGTAAATTAATCGGGGCCGCGAAATCTCCATGCGTTTTAGTTACAGATATAGGACGATATAAATTACATTTCTCTCCCTTTTTTTATATGGATATTTAATGATATTTAAATCTCAATATGAAAATATTTTTCATATTTTAGCCAATGCATGTTTATATACATATTAATAGAATTGAAGGCGACTGCATGCTCTCCAACGGAACAATTATGTGGTGAAGGAAATATATTGTGTAATTAAACTTGAGGGGCAGCGAAGATGATCTTTTGAATTCCATGCACATACGAGTAGATTACTTTTGAAAAGTTTGGAATTTTCATCGACTTCAATTCGGAATACTAAAATATGGAGATATTTAATTTAAAATGTGCGTTGCACTTACCAGTTGTGGGAATACCAGGCGTTGTAGTCATTTCTTTCTTAGTTGTAGGAATACCAAGGGTGACGTACTAAATTAAAAAAACGAAATATCTAAAGAATGAAACATGGAGATAAAAATCCGGAAAAAGAATCCTGCTGTTGTTTTAAGAGTTCGTTTTATACCATGAACTGTTATGTATCACACCTACTTTAAGTATACGTACCAATTGTTTTGTAACATCGATAAAAAACACCCAGCCTTGATCATCATAATATGCCATGTTGTTCTTGCCAGTAGTGTTGCTGAGTTGGCAGTTTACTGATGGACTGTTTGTACCAAATTTGTATTTAAATCCAGCACATGTTGGTTCATTACCACAGTTAAATGAACACTCGATTTCAGAACGGACGCTGTGGTTGGATATAATATCTTCCCATTCCAAAGCTGGAACTATTAAATAATCAATCAGTTATTGATCAAGCCATCACCCAAACGATTCAATCTACCGATGACAACCCAAGCAGCATTTCAACGAGTAAACCATCAGTTAACTACTCACATATCGTCAACAGAATGCATGTGTTCGCGATGTTGAACAATTACATGTTGGATAAGTATGCATGATTGCATGTGATTTAAAACAATTCATAGTTTCTGATTGGCTAAGGATATTGCAGGACACACTAAAGAATCGAAACATACCTTTATCATCTTTCTCAAAAATCTTCTCCCAGTCCTGCGAATGTTTATTGGCTGTCAGCAGTCCAAGTAACATCAAGAAGATGTTAGATGACAACAGTAAATTGCACGAAACTTTCATCGTAAATGTGCTTTCGAGTTATGGGCAATCTATAAAGATGATATAAAATATACCTTAATTTCGATTTTAAGGTTTCTGGTTTTGTTGTAATGATTCGGTGTAGATTTGTTCACATTCATATGGGCAGTGGGCTGCACAGAATAAATACATACAGAGATCTCACTTCTGCGGAAAAACCGGTAAGGTTAGCTTGCGGCAATTACAGCTTTTAGCAACTGCCCAAGAGAGAGGAATCGCCCCCATTAAGGAACATTACATTTCACCATGGTTACAAGACGCGACGTTCTCTCTTTAGGGCACTTGCTAAGAACATGGCGGAAGACCTCGGTATATGTATAAGTACTCTGTGATCCTAGCCAGAGCGTCTATTAGAAGCATGCACCCCGCGTCATTTTCAATATTTTCAGGGGGTTAATAAAAACAAAAGAAAACAAACTACAAAGCCTCTGCGTAGGAGAGTAACCGAATGAAAAGTCTAATAATTAAAAAGGCCGTGCAACTGTATTGAGCTGAACGTGTTTATCTATGTACAGGTAAACAAACACGTGTACACGTACACGCGTGTACAACCCCCCCCCCCCAAAAAAAAAACACCCAAAAAAACAATAAAAATAAGGGGGCATGCACGTGTTCAACCTCGTTCCCATGGGTCTCTCCTTCTGTCATCTGGGAGAGAGCCTGGCTGCGGCTGGGTACGAGGTTTCTGTTTCATTTGTCATTAACAGTTTGAAAAAACAAAAACCGAAGAGCAAAGCCTCTGCGGAACAGAGGGAGCACATATTATAGTGATAATTTTCGGGTCTCCAATCGGTGATCATGCACTAGAGAATTTTTTCACTCGAAAATATTTTTCCATTGGCTTTGTCAGCGTCACTTACACGTCAGCAAAATCGTCGCCGACAAAGGAAAAAAGTCACTTCGCGCAAAACAATTAATGGACTATATGCAATTCGCAATTAACCAAAATTTTGAACTCAACAAGTCTGGACAAAATTTCATCACAGCATGAAAGAGCATCACAAAATTAGTAATATTCCAAAGTTTCGTTTTAAAATGTTGTAATATGCGGATAATATAGCCTTGCGAAATTTGCAATTTTCAGTCATTTTGTATTTTACGAGCGGGAAACGTATAACGGCCGGTTACCACTTTTCCAAAATTTTGATCGCAACTAGCCTAAACAAAAATTTCATCACAGCTTGAAAGACCATCACAAAATTAGTAATATTCCAAAGTTTCGTTGCGAAATGTTGTAAAATCCGGATAATATAGCCTTGCGAAGTTTTGTAATTTTCAGTCATTTTGTATTACGCCCGGAAGTGGTAACCATCACCCGTTTGTAATCTAAAATGACTGAAAATTGCAAACTTCGCAAGGCTATATTATCCGCATTTTACAACGCTTCGCAACGAAACTTTGGAATATTACTAATTTTGTGATGCTCTTTCAAGCTGTGATGAAATTTTTGTCTAGACTTGTTAAGTTCAAAATTTTGGTTATGCGCCAAAAGTATACCAGTATGCTTCCGGGAATGCAACCCGGCCTACAACTCAAGTTGTAAGCAATTGCATGCGACAGTTCTAGGCAAAAGTTGTCAGTGAAGTGTAAATCGGTTTTTCCGAAGATATTATATATACTGTAGATTGAAATGCGCAAAGCTAGCTTACATAACAGATGAGTTTATATGCTTATTTGAATTGTAATAAAATGTTCCACTAATATACGTCCTGACTATCCAAAACAATTAGAAACTTATCCTATCTCAATGTTTTTTCTTAAACTGATATAGAATATAATTCTTGCAGCTATAAAACGAACTGAGCACGTCTCGAAGAAGTTATGGCGATATTTAAAACAAAATTCAAAAGTTGAAGTTCATGAATTCTAGAAGGACTAGTCTATTAATTAAAAATATTGAGTAAATATGATCTTTGACGTTTTGCTGGAGATACAGCATGAATTAACGAAAGAAAATACATGGAAAAACTATTTGGTCCAAATTAAGTCTTTGTACATTTTCGGTACAACGAGTATTTGCTTCGGTTCAACATATATTTCTGACGCATGCGTACAATGTATACATGCCGACGTTTTCTGAATATTAATGTCATAATGACCATATAAGTTTTTCAAGTACATTTCTCGCGCAATTTGAAAAACATACACTCATGAGTCTTTCAAAGACTTCAAATTGACATCTCATTACTTCAAGTGAAAATATTTCAAGAACTAAGTAAGATATGAAAAATCGGTGAAAGGGAAGTTAATAATATTTTGTTTCAAAAGTTCTTTCAAATGAGAAAATAAAAAATATATTACCATTTCCCTTTAATATTTCGAGAACAAGTGTAATTTCCTATAATTAATATAATTTTTATATAGATAAGCAACAATAGATAACAAACACTGTATTATATGTTCAAGCGCACTATTTATAACGCGCCTCTGCAGGTGGTCAATTTTGAAAGCATTATTTTCAATTCATATTCCTGTAAAACTGTTCCCTGGATTCCAGAGCCTTCGGACATACAGTAAGATAATAAATTGAAACGTCGCGAAGGCTCTGGTTCAACGGGGAGATTCTTTGATTAAACCGCGCCAATCATGGCAGAACAGAATGACTCTGGTTGAACGGGGAGATTCTTTGAGTAAACCGCGCCAATCACAGAACAGAATGAGTGGTTTTAGTACAGATTCTGTACAATCTCGTTCCCCGAGCCTGCGATCCTCGAGAAGGAACGCGAGGCTCTGGGATAATCCGCTTCAGGGAGGAATCTGATTGGCCGTTGAAATGGAATGCGTAGTTCAATCTTAGCCAGGATTCCTGGCTTCCGGCAACGGATTATCCCAGAGCCTCGCGTTCCTTCCCGAGGATCGCAGGCTCGGGGAACGAGATTGAGATTCTGTACTAAAACCACTAATTCTGTTTTGTGATTGGCGCGGTTCAATCAAAGAATCTCCCCGTTGAACCAGAGCCTTCGCGACATTTCAATTTATTATTTACTGTCGAAGGCTCTGGAATCCAGGGTAGAAAAACTATGAATAATCTTTATTTCTTATTTTTCTTTGTTATATATAAAAGCATAAATAGAAGCACGTTGTGAAATAAGAGCTCAAAAAATGTACATTTTTAAGTTGATTATTTTCAAGGCGACATTTTGTGTTTAATGATCGACGCGGGCTCGTATCCGTGTCGATTAATCATTAATCGACACACCCGTGCGATATTATATACTCTTTGCGTTATTATATACAATATTCGAAACACTGCAGAAATATATGAGATACTCTTTATAACAGAACTTGTCGAACTAAAAAGTCATTTTTAGTTTTACGTGTAATACTAAATTTTTCAGTTTAATTGTGTCTAACATGATTGTTCTCCAAAGAGAGTCGTGCAGTAAAGCCCATCCCAGATTGAACTTGTGCATTTCACTGTTCGAGAGGAAACCTGCTGCGATGCTTTGTAGTTTCAAACTGGAAACACCTTCGTACATCCGTAAAAAGTATACCAGTATGCTTCCGGGAATATATATATATTATTTGATGTCCCACATTCGTGAGGCATCAAAGGTAACTATTAATACTAGTCACTTTCATCCTGCTCATCAGCACTACACTGATGAGGCCCAAAAGGCCGAAACGGTACTGTCTGTAGTTAGATATTGCTCTATGGCCTTTAGGTCATATTGAGCACTCTACTCTCTGGACTAACAGCTGGCTCCAGGCATGGAAAAGAAAAAATTCGTTCATGTCATTACCATCACAAAAAAATAACATCGTTTCCAGCTTGGCCTTCTAACTCAGAAAGTGGGGCGTCGTTCTGGAAATACGAAGGTCCCGGTTCGATTCCCAGCCGTGGTCAAGTAGAATTACTGAATTAATTTTCTGCTTGCCCATCTCAAACTCGTAAGAATGTTACGAGGCTTTATTTAGGCAGTAAATCGTTACAATCAATCTTTAATAACTGTGTTCGTCTTCTTGTAGTGGTTTTACTAAGTTCACTTCAGCCTTGAGCAGGTTTTCACCGTTCGTGATATGTTCGTTAATTTCTTCGTCGTTCGTTTCGTTTGAGTTTCTGCAGCTTTTCATCAGTTAAGCTTTATTCAGCATACGTCCACTGACGACTTTCGATTGTGCACGCCCTTTTACACTAACGGTTGAGGGAATCTTTATACACGTGGTCTAACAAGTGGTGTGATCTATATCCAGCGAATCGACGTTGAGGTTTTTTGTGTGGGTTGGCGTTGTTAGCTCGTTCCAGCTCTCACATTCTGTTTATTTAAGGCGTTGTCACACTCGTCGAGTCGGTTCGCTGTTAAATCGATCAATGCCAAAACAGGTTCACAACTTTAAATACTTATCAAGGTATTATAGTAAAAACTTCAAACTATACCTACGTGAACATAACTTTACCTACGAGACTAAATTTACTCGTAATTTTATTGAACTAAGATTCTGATGACGTAATATTTTAATTGCATGACCGAGTGTTATCCAGCTTGGGATGACTCATTATTACGCCTGAGTCTGTCCACGTGAAAACGTCGGCAATGTTCATGAGACCCCATGGCAGCTGCTCTGTTTAAACAGACCTGCCCACAAGATAAACTGTAGGGATCAGGTCAATTAAACATGACATCTTCGCATGCACAATGATAGCTAGTTCAACAACTGTCACAGCCTAATGGAAGGAACTAATCAATATTTACCTTACATTAACGTTTGCCCAAATATCCATTATCTCCCCTCATTAAGCTTTTAGTAATATTTACTTGCTCGAGCATTTAAGCTGCTCTCAAGCAAACATCTTTGTGTTATTTTATTTATAGCCTAAAATTTGTGTATAAGTGATAATGTTTCGTATCAGGAGTAGAATCTCAAGAGAAAAAAATCACATACAACATTCGCTGGACTAATAGCTGGCACTATAGGCGTGAAAAAGTAGAAATTCGTTCATGTCATTACCATTCCCAAAAATAACATTGTTCCCAGCTTAA